ATATGGTGTAGTCACAGTATATGATGTAGACACAGTATATGGTGTAGACACAGTATATGGTGTAGACACAGTATATGGTGTAGTCACAGTATATGGTGTAGACAATGACAGTGTAGACACAGTATATGGTGTAGACACAGTATATGGTGTAGACAATGACAGTGTAGACACAGTATATGGTGTAGTCACAGTATATGGTGTAGTCACAGTGTATGGTGTAGACAATGACAGTGTAGTCACAGTATATGGTGTAGACACAGTATATGGTGTAGTCACAGTATATGATGTAGACACAGTATATGGTGTAGACACAGTATATGGTGTAGACACAGTATATGGTGTAGTCACAGTATATGGTGTAGACAATGACAGTGTAGACACAGTATATGGTGTAGACACAGTATATGGTGTAGACACAGTATATGGTGTAGTCACAGTATATGGTGTAGACAATGACAGTGTAGACACGGTGTAAGGTGTAGACACAGTATATGGTGTAGACACAGTATATGGTGTAGACAATGACAGTGTAGACACAGTGTAAGGTGTAGTCACAGTATATGATGTAGACACAGTATATGGTGTAGTCACAGTATGTGGTGTAGACACAGTATATGGTGTAGTCACAGTATATGGTGTAGTCACAGTATATGGTGTAGACAACGACAGTGTAGTCACAGTATATGGTGTAGACAATGACAGTGTAGTCACAGTATATGGTGTAGACACAGTATATGGTGTAGTCACAGTATATGGTGTAGACAATGACAGTGTAGTCACAGTATATGGTGTAGACACAGTATATGGTGTAGTCACAGTATATGGTGTAGTCACAGTATATGGTGTAGACAATGACAGGGTAGACACAGTGTAAGGTGTAGACACAGTATATGGTGTAGACACAGTATATGGTGTAGACACAGTATATGGTGTAGACACAGTATACGGTGTAGTCACAGTATATGGTGTAGACACAGTATATGGTGTAGTCACAGTATATGGTGTAGTCACAGTATATGGTGTAGACACAGTATATGGTGTAGTCACAGTATATGGTGTAGATACGTTCAGGGTCTCTCTTTTAGGAAGGGACAGTGTAGACATGTTCAGGATCTGTCATTTAGGAAGGGACAGTGTAGATACGTTCAGGATCTGTCATTTAGGAAGGGACAGTAGATAGTTCAGGGTCTCTGTTATGTTAGAAGAGATGGTGTAGATTTGTTCAGGATCTGTCATTTAGGAAGGGACAGAGTAGCCGCGTTCAGGGTCACTGTCATTTAGGAAGGGACGGTGTAGATACGTTCAGGATCTGTTATTTAGGAAGGAACAGTGTAGACATGTTCAGGATCTGTCATTTAGGAAGGGACAGAGTAGATACGTTCAGGATCTGTCATTTAGGAAGGGACAGTAGACATGTTCAGGGTCTCTGTTATGTTAGAAGAGATGGTGTAGATTTGTTCAGGATCTGTCATTTAGGAAGGAACAGTGTAGATACGTTCAGGATCTGTCATTTAGGAAGGGACAGAGTAGCCGCGTTCAGGGTCACTGTCATTTAGGAAGGGACGGTGTAGATACGTTCAGGATCTGTCATTTAGGAAGGGACAGAGTAGACATGTTCAGGATCTCTGTCATTTAGGAAGGGACAGAGTAGATACGTTCAGGATCTGTCATTTAGGAAGGGACAGTAGACATGTTCAGGGTCTCTGTTATGTTAGAAGAGGTGGTGTAGATTTGTTCAGGATCTGTCATTTAGGAAGGGACAGTTGACACGTTCAGGGTCTCTGTTATGTTAGAAGAGGTGGTGTAGATTTGTTCAGGATCTGTCATTTAGGAAGGAACAGTGTAGATACGTTCAGGATCTGTCATTTAGGAAGGAACAGTGTAGACATGTTCAGGATCTGTCATTTAGGAAGGGACAGTGTAGATACGTTCAGGATCTGTCATTTAGGAAGGGACAGTATACACGTTCAGGGTCTCTGTTATGTTAGAAGAGATGGTGTAGATTTGTTCAGGATCTGTCATTTAGGAAGGAACAGTGTAGATACGTTCAGGATCTGTCATTTAGGAAGGAACAGTGTAGATTTGTTCAGGATTTGTCATTTAGGAAGGAACAGTGTAGATACGTTCAGGATCTGTCATTTAGGAAGGGACAGAGTAGCCGCGTTCAGGGTCACTGTCATTTAGGAAGGGACGGTGTAGATACGTTCAGGATCTGTCATTTAGGAAGGGACAGAGTAGACATGTTCAGGATCTCTGTCATTTAGGAAGGGACAGAGTAGATACGTTCAGGATCTGTCATTTAGGAAGGGACAGTGTAGATACGTTCAGGGTCTCTCATTTAGGAAGGGACAGTGTAGACATGTTCAGGATCTGTCATTTAGGAAGGAACAGTGTAGATACGTTCAGGATCTGTCATTTAGGAAGGGACAGAGTAGCCGCGTTCAGGTTCTCTCATTTAGGAAGGGACAGAGTAGACGCGTTCAGGGTCTCTTTTAGGAAGGAACAGTGTAGATACGTTCAGGGTCTCTCATTTAGGAAGGGACAGTGTAGACATGTTCAGGGTCTCTCATTTAGGAAGGGACGGTGTAGACATGTTCAGGGTCTCTCATTTAGGAAGGGACAGTGTAGACATGTTCAGGGTCTGTCATTTAGGACGGAACAGTGTAGACATGTTCAGGGTCTCTCATTTAGGAAGGGACAGAGTAGACGCGTTCAGGGTCTCTCATTTAGGAAGGAACAGTGTAAATACGTTCAGGGTCTCTCATTTAGGAAGGAACAGTGTAGATACGTTCAGGATCTGTCATTTAGGAAGGGACAGAGTAGCCGCGTTCAGGGTCTCTCATTTAGGAAGGAACAGTGTAGATACGTTCAGGGTCTCTCATTTAGGAAGGGACGGTGTAGACGCGTTCAGGGTCTCTCATTTAGGAAGGAACAGTGTAGATACGTTCAGGGTCTCTCATTTAGGAAGGGAAAGTGTAGACATGTTCAGGGTCTCTCATTTAGGAAGGAACAGTGTAGATACGTTCAGGGTCTCTCATTTAGGAAGGGACAGTGTAGACATGTTCAGGGTCTCTCATTTAGGAAGGGACGGTGTAGACATGTTCAGGATCTCTGTCATTTAGGAAGGGACAGTAGACGCGTTCAGGATCTCTGTTATGTTAGAAGAGATGGTGTAGATTTGTTCAGGATCTGTCATTTAGGAAGGGGCAGTGTAGATCAACAAGTCCCTACTGAAATACGCGTTTATTAGGAGATAAACATACTGTGATTTCAATGTAGAGCTAGGTTACCTGTTGTTTTAACCCCGCTTAATTGAATTGAGTTTAGTGTTTTGAGTGGGTTATTGATCTGAATTACGGAATCACCGAACAAAATACGGAGCTGTATATAATCAAGCAGTTTTTTTACACCGTTATACTTCACTCGAACATATGGCAGGCATTGAAGCCGTACAAGCACAGCAACTTGGTAAGCCAACATGGGGTGGGCATCCCTAAAGAAAACAAAGCAAGCTTTGCAAGGCTTTCGCTCTATATTGCACGTCCCCATTATGACGTCATATCGCTCATTGTGACGCAAAAGATGGGACGTCACAGTCGTACATAGAAAAGCGCCAAAATTCCAAGCTCTCTGTTGTCTCAAAATTGTAAATACATTCCCTTTGTAGATTTCTATCATGTTTTCTGCATGAAATGTATTGCCACACATCCTTTGAATGGTGTAGTAACCGCATCTATGCCTTTTGTAAACTGTAATTGTAGATATAATTATTTAAATATGCCACCCGACACTGACTGAAAATAATACTATTCTATGAATATTAGCTTCCGTGGTGATACGGCCGTCAAACCAGCTGTTTCAATCAGAGGGGGTTTATTGTGATTTAATAGCCTCTGATTGACCAATCAGAATCGAGTAAATTCCAAATTCATGTTAGAATTAATCATGTCGTTACCCCATCAGTAATAAATTACTGTTTAATTGTATATTTGGGCTCATGTTTGTAATCGACGTGATCTATTTTATAAATTTTAATCAAAATTTCATTCAATAATATTTACATTAATTTCGGTGTCGACCCAGTACTTTTTAACTTCTGTTTGACCGTTAGGTCACGGCTCACTGTTATTTACAGCAACCGTGATAATTTTACAGCTATTTACACCTTGAAACAAACCTTAGTTGACAGAAAATGGATACATACTGTATATCATTACTGCAATACTTTGACTCATTATACATGTTATAAGTAGTCATTGTTGTAGTTTGACTATTAAATGTCAACATATTGTTTCTGGGATTGACATAGCGAGATTGCGTGAAATGTTATCAGTGATTTGTCAAATTGTTCCATGCGAAAACAGTATCTGATAATACATAATAATGGCTATCATTATTTTGAAGATATAAAGTAAAGTCTGCAATTAAAATAACACGATATCAGAATATATTTTTTGTAGTATAAAAATAGTTATTTAAGAAAGTATTTTTTCCAATCTTTTCATCAAAATTCTTTTCCTTCATCTTTATTGGGTATGTTTTAACGTAATCACCGGTAGCTTGGGAGACTACATGTGTACAGCTGATTGCTATTTCTGGCTTAGTTTATGAGACAATACACATGGTAATCTTTGTCCCTGCATATAAAATTATGCCTAGCATAACAAGAAATACAATGGAAATGGTAAATCATCATGTCTAGTGATGTTTAATCGCAAATTTCACATTTTCATTGACAAAGTTTGTTAAGGCGTTGTTTATTCACCTGAAGCGATACAATGTACTTTTTTTACCAACAGAAAAAGAGTATGATGGAAGTGTAACCCATATATAAGCCGACCCCTTTCTACAGAATCTTTTTCCTGGTCCTCAAAATTTGGCTTATCTACAGTCATATACGGTACCACTATATTTTCAACGATTGTTTAGCTTGATCCAGTTTTGTCACATAATAATTTGTTCGGTTTTATCTTTCCCTAATTCTATAATACACCTTGCAGCCTACCAACCCCAACAAGGCTATGGAACCACAGCTGGGGGCTATGGAACCCCAGCTGGGGCCTACCAACCTCAACCAGGCTACGGCCCCCCTGTGGGACCATACGAACCGTCCAAGGGCATGGCTCCTCCCCCGGGGCCCCCAGCTGGGGCCTACCAACCTCAACCAGGCTACGCCCCCCCATACGATCCGTCCAAGGGCATGGCTCCTCCCCAGGGGCCCCCAGCTGGGGCCGTTCCCAGCTACCAGAACTACAGCGTGACCGTCTCCCAACCAACGTCCCAGGTTGTTGTAGTAGGCGGATGCCCAGCTTGTCGCGTGAGTTCATAGGAAATATGGCACAAGATACATGTGACCTTATAATATCAAGAATTGATCAGCAGTTGATAAATCTAATACATATGTTATTCCATAATTACTTGTTATGTAGGGCTCCATGTTGCTATGGAACTAATTGTTGGTATAGCTCTATTTGTGTTGAAATGAATTTTCATAAAAAATATTATGCAAATGCAACATCATTATTTTTACTTGGATTTGATACTTCTCTCCGTCAATATCTACAAAGTCACAAGCCCTCTAAGAGCACACGTCAGACAATGACAGGTGAACCAATGCGAACTTTGAATGGTTTTCAGCGACCCACCTGTAAGAGGCTTCTATGCTTGTTGAAAGATGCGACTAACGGCATCGGCTGGCCAGGCTCTCGGACTTGGTGGATGTCATCATATCCCAATTGGGTAGATCGATACTCACGATGTCAATCATTGGATTGTCCGGTCCAGACTCAATTATTTACAGACCGCCATCATATAACTGTAATGTAGTGTGGCATAAAACAGCAAACAAAATCATACTGAGAAATCGAACCCTCTTTGCTGATCATGCTGATTAGAAAACTCACTTGATGTTACCCCCGTATTCTATGTAGGTTGTGTTTTTGTTTTGTTTGTTTGTTGTTTAACGCTGCACTATTCCAGCTATATGAAGGCGGTCTGTAAGTAAATGAGTCTGGACCAGACAATCCAGTGATTGACAACATGAGCATCGATCCACTCAATTGGGATCAATGACATGCATCAACCAAGTCAGCGAGCCTGACCACCCGATCCGTTAGTCGCCTCTTACGACAAGCATAGTCGCCTTTAACAGCAAGCTTGGGTTACTGAAGACCTATTCTACCCAAGAGCTTCACTGGCCTATGGAGGTTGTGTCAGATCTTGACAGGGTGAGGTATCATAGCAGTGTAACGGACACTTAATTTCCCTTATTTTGATGTATATGAGTAGTGTTCCGGTGTTTATCGTGTCATGACAGTAGGCATAATTCTATGGTGTTAACTCGACATAGATCAGAAGTTGTTTCAAAATAATTTGTATTAGTTTTATCTTAATTTTGGCAAAACATATCATTAAGCCAACCTGTAATATTGCACAGCAATGATTCACTTGTTTTGGATGAAAACATCAGCTCCGTTACTGGAGCATCTTCCCGAGGCAAGGGAGTTAACTGACTTTAAAAGTCCAGTTTCCACCCTTGCCGAACTAGGCTGGAATTCCTTGGCTCGATCTCAGCGCCACCAGTGGCTATTACAAGTTATGTCCCTTCTATGCCTCTCCTATGGCATGATGGACCAATCAGATTCCACCTCTCGTATCACTTGCATTTGCTTCAAACAAAACGGTGGCATCCAGTCAAGACGATGAAAAGATTTAGAAAATATCTATTGACGAGCTAGCGGTGCACATGCTTTGCAAATCCTGCAGTCGACCGAAATCTGCATGACACTTTACGAACCGGATTTCAATTTCGGTGCACGATATTGATTGACTATGCATAGACTCATTAGTCCAGCCAAAATCTAACTCCATAATACCAGCCTAGTTCGGCAAGGGTGGAAACTGGACTTTTATAGTCAGTTAACTCACTTGCCTCGGGAAGATGTTTCTGGAGGTACCACATCCTTTGTTTATCTATCATGTTCTTCGTATGTTTTAGGTGGGGATCCTTGAAGATGACTTCACCTGCCTTGGCGTCTTGTGCGCCATCCTGTTTTTCCCACTCGGTATTTTGTGTTGTCTGGCAATGAGACAGAGACGCTGTGCAAATTGTGGAGCAATCTACGGCTAGAAATCCAATAATACCTGCCTTCAACATAGAGAACCGTCACAACAGCTCACCAACATATTTCACATATTAGATGCTTTGCTGCATATTTATCACCCGGCACAGGTGGCCCAGTCGCCTAAGGTTCCGCAATTCGCTGTGCAGAGTTGCTTCCCATGGGCAAGCCAGAAACCTATGATTGTGGGTTCAAATCCCGGTTTGCCCCGATTATGTTTCTAGGTTTGTCAGCACCATACCCATGCTCGTGGGTTTCACCGAAGTTGTAAATGTCTGAGACCTGCATCACTTAGGGCTTTCCTCCCACATCAAGCTGACACGCCGTGATATAACTGTAATACTGTTAAAAGCGGCGTTAAGCCCACCTCACTCACTGTTTGTCATCTTCTGATGATTGTTTCTATCTGGTCTGGTGGGGAGATGTGCCAGAACCTGCTGGTCCATGGTTTTGAATTCCAGATGTATCTGAGAATAATCTTTGGTTTGTCAGCACCATGCCCATGCGTGTGGTTGACATTTGTGGCCTGGGTTGTGTTGGTAGATATAACAAGCTGTGATTAATATCAGACTACTTTATGTAAAATTACTACATATATGAAGAAGACTGTTGTTCTTATATACACTTGGCGTGAGGCTGTGACCAATGTGTTTGTTGAACCCTGGGCTGGGGCTTTCCTCTTCCCCTAGCTGACACACTGTCATGTGACTGAAAGACTGTCCCAAACGGTGTGTGTACACCCACCCACTTTCACTTTCATTTCTTCTTTGGACCTTTTAGATCATTTCAAAAGCAGATACCGGTGTGTTGTTTGTCAAAGCAGATACCGGTGTGTTGTTTGTCAAAGCAGATACCGGTGTGTTGTTTGTCAAAGCAGATACCGGTGTGTTGTTTGTCAAAGCAGATACCGGTGTGTTGTTTGTCAAAGCAGATACCGGTGTGTTGTTTGTCAAAGCAGATACCGGTGTGTTGTTTGTCAAAGCAGATACCGGTGTGTTGTTTGTCAAAGCAGATACCGGTATGTTGTTTGTCAAAGCAGATTCATCAGGGATTCTTCTAGAATTCCAAACGAAGTGAAAAAACGTTTCTTTAAAGTTCTTGTTTTCTTAAATTGAGGGGTATGTTAATTTTTCATTCAATGTCAAAATGTAAAACTGAACATTAAAGAATCTCATTGTTTATTGGTCCTGGTATCCGTGACCTGCAAGTCCCCTCTGGTATCGCTAACATAGTGCTTACTCCATAATACTGACTGAGTATGGTTTTACGCCGCTTTTAGCAATATTCCAGCAATATCACGGCGGGGGACACCAGAAATGGGCTTCACACATTGTCCCCATGTCGGGAATCGAACCCGAGTCTTTGGCGTGACGAGCGAACGCTTTAACCACTAGGCTACCCGACCGCCCCTACTCCATAATAACAGTATTTGGCAAATGGTTAATTCCAGTTGTGTAATTTTGACTGATATTTGCTTCAGACTTGGGGACGAATATTGCCTTCTGAACAGGCCTAATTAATTCTCAAAGAATATATATTTCACAAATTTGTTTATACAAAATACCACATGAAATGTGGGCATCTAATATGTTGAAGACTGTTGTGTGATTAGTATTTGGACGATGTGACTTAATCAAAAAATGCTAGGAAGATATATTTTGATATATTGGGTGATTTGGGCTATCTTATTTGTTAAGGGTTATTTTGTATGAAGGTTTATTTGAAGATGAATCATGAGGTGATTAGTCATTGTTTTTTTCATTGCTTTCTTGTACAAAGTGAAATATATGTATTTGTAAGTGCTAGCAGACTTCATGAAACTATTGTCGAGAGATTTTTACAGCAAGTCTTAGACAAGCCAGAAATGTCTTTAGAACATATTTTTCCTGTGCTTTAAGCATGTTAACAATCGTTAAGCTTGGGCTTTGTTTATCATGTTTATTTTAGGTTGTTAAATATGTATTTTGTATTGTTTTGCATATCATTATCAAGGCATAGAGAATACTATTGATTTGCTGTACTCTTGTGTTTTTCTTGTAAATACTTCCATGTTAACAGGGTTAAATAGAACCATTATGTTAAAGTGTGAACGATCATCAGAAACAACCTTGAGACAACCCCTTGAAACTGATAATTGTCAATGAAATCTGTTGACTGTAAAGGCAGTCACTAGCCATGGCTATGCTGGTTGCCATGGATGTGCTGGTTGCCCTGGCTATGCTGGTTGCCATAGATGTGCTGGTTGCCCTGGCTATGCTGGTTGCCATGGATGTGCTGGTTGCCCTGGCTATGCTGGTTGCCATAGATGTGCTGGTTGCCCTGGCTATGCTGGTTGCCATTGCTGTTTCTGATTATTATGTATCTAATGTTATATACGTAGCCTGTTGTCTTTCGTGCCCATTGTATGTGCAATGCCTTTTGCTATAAAACTGTTTGCACCAGGCTATGGGAGCTATTGTGATAGACCTGCCGAAGTTCTATTGGTGGTGTTTGTGCTTGCGGCACAGTTGTAAGTAGAAGTAAGTCTCAAACGTTGCTTTCGTCATATGTAGCCATGGTCAGTGAGCCTATGGGAAAAAGATGTGATTACCCACCAACTGGAGGGTACCTTCACGACCTTGTGCCATCAGCCTCTTGGTGGTGTTATTTTTCTTTGTTTCGACTCCTTTGGCCTGTTCACTTGCCATGTACATTAATTGAAGATATTTGTCTTGTCTTTTGGAATCACTTGTTTATCTCATCGAATGACCTTCAAACTTGATATTTTTGTGAAAGTGTCAACATTACAGGTCACGAGACGGTCCACTTGACCGACAAAAGGATAACATGAGTATGTCAACAGTGTGAAGGTCTTTTGCTGGACCTTGTTGTTTTGGGTCCAAATTGTATTTGTATGGATGGGGAGAGGATCTGTGTCATTAGAGCCCATTTATACAAAGCATTACGACTATTGAAAGTCTATGTTGAGGTTATGGCTCTGTGATTGGTTTGTGCAAAGAACAGTGTATATTGCATGATATGCAGGTACTCCCACATAATTTGTCACACATTAATATAGTTAGCTACAAGGTACTTGCACGATCAGTTTGTCACTGATCACATGTGTTACATAGTAGTGTTGATTAATGCCATGGTTATTGGGATCTAGGGACCAGATGAATTTTGATTGGTAACAATAATTTTGATCTTTTTTTATGAAAAAAATATAATGCTTGGTGTTAGTTATCATTCTTAAATGTTTTATAGATGGCAAATTAATTGTCTGTTCCTCCTTGTGTGTAAAACTGTGTGTTAAAATTATTGTTATAAAACCACTTTTCTTAAAAACGTGGCAGGTTCCTTGCTCTTCTGCCTTACTGGATGGTAATGATATCTGGTATGGATATGTAGACTGAATCTGAATGAAACAAAAATAAGCCATGTACAACAGTTGGGGTCCAGTGGACCACCAATGATTAATCTTAAGGGTCCTTGCAGGCAGTATGAGGGTCCTGTAAAATAATGAAATGGTATAGTGTACTTTACATTGTGATGATTACTTTAGAGCCTGGAATGAATCAATGATCATGTGGACAGTGGTCATGATTGCTGGATCGAATAACATACACCCATAAGTGCTCTTGATTCGCTGTAGGTCCAATGAATATTACTGGCGTCCCTTGGGACACTGTATATATTTTTTCTGTGTTCCTTCTCTACATTTGTGCGTCGTGTAACACCCTGATGTACATTCCTACTGTATAAATGATTATGTTATGAATGAAAACATTGATTTTGTGTTTTGTTTTTGAGACTTGGAGTGTTGGTTTGAGGTTAAACACCTGGGTGTGCAACATTCCCCCTGTCATCATCCTTGGCCTGTCAGCAGCTTGTTCTTGTAGATAAGAGCAGTCTTATGACAACTCACTCATCACTCATTGTAGAAGAAGTGCTGATACAATTCGACCAGCAAACACTAAGACACATAGTCTGTACCTTTAAAGCGCAGTAAGGTTAAATTGTGTCTAATTCATTTTCGGGGATAACATAGAAAGGCAACAGATCTGGTCAAATAAGTGGCAGATCAATAAGTTTCATGCCCTATAATTAATGATAGGGCACTCACTAATTGCCAGACTTTGTGTCACTATCGAATGTCTTGAACCAGGCCCGTCTCCTCTTGTGAATCTGGAATTTTCAGACAGGAATCTAATCCACACTTAGAAAGTGAATAAGATGCAAGTCAGGTCGACGAAAAGCCTTGAATCAGCCATGTGTCGCTCATAGACTGGTACAGCCAGCCTCTTTAGAACTGCCTCGCTGTGCAGAGTCGCGTCCCTTGGGCACGCCAGAAACCTATGATTGTGGGTTTGAATCCCGGTTCGCCCCGATTATGTTTCTAGGTTTGTCAGCACCATACCCGTGCTCGTGGGTTTCACCGAAGTGGTAAACGTCTGAGACCTGCATCACTTCGGGCTTTCCTCCCACATTAAGCTGACACGCCCTGATATAACTGGAATACTGTTAAAAGCGGCATTAAACCAAACTCACTCACTCACTCACTCACTCACTCACTCACTTTAGGACTGCCCTATCCCGAAACTTCTCAAACAATCAATTCTGTCATGTTTGTCAACAACAAGGGCTGGTAACTCTAGTTTGCTCGCTGCTGATGTCAGTCGCTAAATCAGGCCACAACAGCAATCAGCATTTTGCTGGCAATTTAGTCATCTGCTGCACCTGACAATCACAACAAATATACTTACAACAGTCTCTCCTGCCACATAGCATTATTGAAGTGGTTTTGCTGCTGTTATTTGTCTCATGACAGGCGATGAAAATGTGTCTACCGCCTACGAGGAGAACGAACTTCACGTTGTACCGTTCAAGATGTCTAACCGTTTTGAGGTGGCGCCAATATGGTTTGGGGCGGCATCTGTGGCCATATCAAGATAGATCTGGGGATTTTGGAAGGAAAGATCAGTGGACAGTGTTATATACTGAGTCAAATTAAGAACTTCACATTTTTAAAAGTAATCCCATATATGATATACAACAGACAAATGTAACAGAGAGGGTAAATTTTAATCCTTAATGTCCAAAGAAGGATTTTAATTAACGGTGGTAACCATAATTTGTTCCAAGCACCTACGGTATTCGGTAATAACATCAACAGTTTAAATCATAAGTCCCAAGCACGGGAATCTGATGGCACGCAAGTTCAGTAGCGTGTATGGCCACCATGTGCGTTGACAACTGCCACACAGCGCCTCCGCATTGTTGCTGCAAAATGGTGCCAAGATCTTGCAAATTCTGTGGTTGGTTCTGGAGAGTGCTTCTGCCAAGAGCATCACAGACGTGTTCGATGGGATTGAGGTCGGGAGACCTTGACGGCCAGTCCATGACGTTGACTCCCGCATTCTGAAGGAAATTCCTTGTCAAAATTGCTGTGTGGGGTCTGGCATTGTCGTGTTGGAAGATCAAACCGGGTCCATGTGCTGGCATAAAAGGCAGAAGTTCTGGTGCCAGTACCTGTTCGCGGTAAGCAGCAGCGTTGAGGTTGCCACGGATGACAAGAAGCCTGGAACGTGCATTGCCACAGAAAGCACCCCACACCATGACACTTCCGCCTCGAAATCTGTCAACTTCCTGTACACAACACTAGGCGTAACGTTCATGACGGCGCCTCCACACCCTCGCCCTACCATCAGCAAATCGAAGATTAAATCGGGATTCATCACTGAAGACGACTTGATTCCAATTCCTCTGAGTCCATCGTAAGTGTCGCTGTGCCCACAATTGACGTTGACGTCTGTGTAAATGAGTCAGAATCGGCCCGCAGTATGACCGTCATGCTTGAAGGTGAGCAGTTCTCAGACGGTTTCGAACAGTTTGCGCACTCAGTCTACCCCTAAACAGTTCATTTCTGGTTGATGTAGCCGTCAAAAATCGGTTACGGAGGTGACGTAAGACAATTTGACGATCCTCTGCAGGTGACGTCACACGTGGTCGACCTGGCCGAGGGCGATCAGCGGTGGTACCCGTTTGCTGTAGACGCGTCTGTAAATCATAAACAGTCCGTCGACTACAACCCATCGTCCTTGCGACTTCAGCTACGGACGTTCCCGTCTGCAACATGCCGATGGCACGTTCACGTTGCACATTTGAAAGGCGTGGCATGACAAATGGCCGTAAAGACTTTTGTTTTCTTGTGTTTTTCTTTTTTTGTTAATGACTGCTAACAAGTATGGCTGAAAACACGTGCCGTATTATGGCCACGTGACCAGTTGCACGTGAAAAAACACTTTTGCCACCATAGTGCTGTGCACATGATTTTGATCGATTCACCTGCACAAAAACGGGTGTTATCTGAAGACAATACGTGGCAATAACTGTTTAAATACACAATAAGGGCCCACAATGATAACTGGTCAAAATGTTAAAATTTTAGGATTGTGAAGTTTTTAATTTGGTTCATTATATTTACTAACCCCCCAACCCTGTTGTATACTACTGTTCTAGCAACAGAGTCCCTGGACCCTATTTCGACAAGATAACACAAGGCAACACACAGAATAGGTCTTCAGCAACCCATGCTCGCTGTAACGGGCAGCTATGCTTGTCGTAAGAGGCGACTAAAGTTATCGGGTGGTAAGGCTCGCTGACTTAGTTGATGCATGTTATCGTATTCAAATTGCGTAGATCGTTGCTCATGATATCAATCACTGGATTGGCTGGCCCAGACTCGATTATTTACAGACCGCCGTCATATAGCTGGAATATTGCTGAGTGCGGCGTAAAACAACAAACAAACACATCTTGAAGTGGAAGAAATTATTATTTTTTTAAGCAAGTGTCACAGGCACACTGACTCCCATGTTCATGTTTCGATGTCCAGGATTATAGCCTACACACGAAATACTCTGTACTGGTAAGATTGGCTTTATTGCGGAATCTTGCTAGGCTGGGTATTTTTCAGATGGAGGCCGCGTTCTTTATTAACACACAGTGATGAGCTGTTGTTTTTTTCCACTCAAATCAAATGGTCCGCCCCTTATACCATCTTGACCCCGCCCCTTAAACCATCTTGACCCTGCCCCTTACACCATCTTGACCCTGCCCCTTACACCATCTTGACCCCGCCCCTTATACCATCTTGACCCCGCCCCTAACACCATCCTGACCCCGCCCCTTATACCATCCTGACCCCTTAAATAGTGTATCAGCAAATAAAGCTGTTCTTACTCTTGGTTCTCTAAGAAAGGCCATCTACAGAATCGTGTGCCACCATTATAAAACTTCAGTATATATCCAACATAAACCAAACATTCGTTACTCCATGCTTGTGATTCGTTAATCAGGACGTTGAATTCAGTGGGAAGTGTCCTGTCTAGATTAACGGGGGTTCACTGTAGATGTTTCATTAAACACAACATGCCTTTAGTGTTCGTATCACAGTCAGCACTTAGACATGTTTTTTTGCTATTTATGGTGCTACCTCAATCACGTATTCATGTTCGTAAAATGCGAACAGAAAGGAATATAGCATGAGCTTTCTGCATTGGCTACCGCAGATACCAGCACTCAACCAACACCATGAAAAGTAACCCGGCTGACAAATGCGAAAGTAAGTATATGTTCAGGCATCAAATGAGACCTGGACAACACAGGAATAGTGCTACTGTAAAAGACGTATAGAAACGCCGTGCACAAAGAAATGTGAAAAGGATTGAGGACTATAAGTTTAACGCAAAGCCGTTCAGAGAATAATAGGAATTCACTTAAGACCAGATCGGCTCACTGGTAACTCGCGCAAAGAAAGTTGGTGGTTTGTATGCGAACCTTTCTTAAAATATTAAACGCGGCTGTTTGTGACACGTTATTGCCCAACAGTAGAGTGAATCGTTGTGTTTGGGTTTTCATACAACTTTATACAGGTGGTGCCTGGTGGATTACGGTTACGGATGTAGGAAGATTCTGATTTAGTTTGGAAGTTTGTTTCCCCAGTAAACGGGACGGATTACTGACTACATGGAATGGATGGGGAGATTTCGGTAGTGTTTCCTGGAATAATACTGGCAAAGATGGAGTAGGTGCGGTCCGGATTAACGGATTTCATTTCGGTAAGTAGATATACGATTGTACTATACACAGAGGCACCAGAAACTGATCATGTTAGTATGTATATGGGGAGTTTCAGAAGCTAAAGTCAACCTACTTCGGCCGCATGTACTGCTGTATTGGGTGCAAGTTGAAACCATGAGACTGTCTCAGATTTTTAATTATAATTTTATCATGATCAAATTCGGCCCGCCAATGGTTATGTCATTCATACACGTAATGGGGACATTTGTGGCTACGCAAGATGTGACTTTTGATCAAAGTACGCCATCAAACGACCATGGTGTTGTCTTGGTTTATTGCGTACGCAGGGGACTAATTAATAATCTGTTATGCCATATCGTCCATGTTGCCATTATTATCAGATTAAAATTAAAAATGCAGCAAAAAAGGTTTGGGTGATCCTGGCACAGTCAGGTTGGTTAGGCTCATCATCAGCTCAGGGCCCTTGCCCCCTCTACACGCAGCCCAGACAACGAATGGGTGTTCTCCAAGGAAGCGCTGTCAAGTCAAACCCACCCAGAACTTTTCGGAGAATGTGAAGACTCCCCAACACTGCAGCCTTCTGCATTACCCAGATTGTCACAGTGGCTGTATTCCTGGTAGTAAACCCAGGTACTCTCCAAATGCCAGTCAACAGATTGGGAGGTACCAAACCTAAGGCCA